GATGTTAATTCAGAATCAGGAAATTATGATTATGCAGTATCAAAATGTCATAAACTAAATTGATAAGCCGTTAAAGCACATATATACCCTAATTGAATTTAGACACATTCTAACATTTCTTTTTCTTATTTTTCAAGATCTACTTCTTGTCAGCAATGCTTATTTCACCTGTCTCTTCATCATGTAAGTCACAGCAGAAACAAGAACTCTTCCGAGAGTGTGGGCTAACTGACCAATAGCTTTGAGGGAAATGATTTAAAAAATTAAAAGCAAAATTAAAATTATCATTAAACATCAACAAGTGAAGTTCTACAGTGATAGTGCCTATGGCTAGTGTGTAAAATTACAGCTTTCCTCTTCAGGTACAAATATAAAATCTCAATTTTATGAGCTGTCCACTACTGATTGGGATCAACAAAGCTAGAGGACACCCAAGCCTTGCAGAAGTGTTTATGTGGAGAAAGGGAGTCCTTTACATTCCCCCAAAATGGCCAATAAGACCAAAGTATACTCAGCAATAACTTGCCTAAATACCTAAAAGGTATCAGATCCCATCTGATCTTGGAAGCTAAAAAGGATCAGCCTCGCCTATTAAATCCAAGGGGTCACCATAAGTTGACAGTCAGGTTGAAAATGCATATGCATTTACACAACACTGGGAGACCAGGATTAAAATACCTGCTTGGCCATAGAAACTCAGGGTCTTTCCAGCCCTGTCGTTATCCCAGGAGAATCCGCATTTAAAAAAACATGGATGTTCCTGGGGGCCCATCTAAACACAACCCAGAAAGTGTGCGCTTTCTGGGTGGGCATCCAGATGTTCTTCCAGGACTGCCCGGGAGAACACCAGGACACTGTAACCCCCTCCCAGAAGAACTCAGGCAGCTGCTTCATGGAGGCCGGGTGAGTTCTTCTGGGTTTTTTTTTTACTCTGTTTTGGGAGGCTTTTGGGCAGGGGGTTGGTATTCCCACAGTTTTCCGGACTAATTTGGCCCAGAAAACCATGGGAATACTATCTGGACTGCAGTATTCTGCAATCCAGACACCACAAGTAGTGGGTTTATCCTGCACCTTCCAGAAGGAGCGGAATGAACCCACTATCAAATTAATTCACCACAAACCAGGGTTTTCCTGGTTGTGGTGAATTAATTTGGGTTTGTCCAGGATGTCATCTGGACAGCCCCCTTTTTATTGTGGAAGTTTCCTCAATAAAGTGGCTGTCTGGATGCACCCTCATTGAGTGACATTGGGGAAGGCATACTCTCCGTCTCAGAGGAAGGCAAAGGCAATCCTGTGAAGAAAACTCCATAATAGGCTTGCCTTAGGTCACCGTATGTCAAAAATGACTTGAAGACACACCATAACATTTGAGAGGCAACCAGAAATTCCATGGTTTCATATATCATTAGAAAGAGCTCTTACTGTTGACATTAAGTTTGGAAACATCACACATGAAAACAAAACAAAAAAAGGTTTTGCTTCTTTTGTGTTAGCCACAAGCAGCAGGTAACCTGCTACTTATCTACAGTTATTCATTTTTTAAAATATAAACAAAAAAATTAAATATTTAAATGGCCCAAAATAGTAACATTGATATTGCTTTCTATCAAAATGTTGTCCTTTTTTGCGCAAACATTATGAACAATGTTCTTATTTTTCATATATTACTTTTGCACCCTATTTTTCCCATTTATTTTTGCACAATAAAGAGTCCTACACTTCTGCAAACACTCTGATTCATCCTAGGCTGTAGCATGCCAAACCAGAAGAAGTACAAACCCCAGGGCAATCTATAGTGTAACATTAATGCAGTTTGACACCACTTTAACTGCTATGACTCAATGATATGGAATCCTAAAGTTGTAGTTTTGTAAGGCACCAGCAGTCTTTGGCAAAGAAGGCTAAAAACCTTATAAATCTACAGCTCCCAGGATTCTATAGTATTGAGCCATAGCAGTTAAAGTGGTGCCAAGCTAAATTCATTCTACAGTGTAGATGCACTCCCAGTAATAAGTTGGCAGGTGTTGTTGTACATCCTTATGTCTACCATTCCCTTCTCACAGACCACATTTCATTCCAATGTCTTCAATGTATTGCGATACGCAAATAAAGATTAGTGGCACAAGTTCAGACTTTATAAAAGATCTATATCAACCACACACAAAAACCCCACAAAACTAAAACCAGAATCCTTCATCAAGCGAAAATCATTATCTTTCTGCTCCACAATAGCACACCTGTTTCTTCCAATGTCACACGACACACAGCTTTTAAAGAAAAAAAGAGACTAAAAACAGATTTTTACATTCTAAAGATAGTATAGGAGATGCTGCAAATGTGTGATTCCAGATGGAGGAAATTAGCACAGATAGAAGTACTTCAAGATTATTGTTGCTAGCAGAACTGTTTTCTTTCCTTTTAAGAAGGAATGGTCTTTTTTTCCATTTGCATTTCACTAAAACAGAACAAAAGAGTCGACGTATGAACACAGTCATACAGCCCAGAAACCACCCCAGTGATTCCGGCCATGAAAGCCTTCAACAATATATAGTCAATGTATACTTTGGTGTTTTTTTAAAGCCATGTTGCAGAATAATTTAAACAAAAATCAGCTTAAAATTAACATGTGGTTAAAAAAAAATGTGGTTGTGTGTGCCTTCAAGTCGCTGTCTCTGGGAAATTTCACCTAGATTCCTCCTTTTATATAATTAGATATTTTGTTTTCAAGTTTGGGGGGGGGGGGCATAAGTAAAGTGGTAGATCAATAGATCGTAACACTTATCTTATAGGCATTTCTTAGGGTTTTTTCATCAGTCTTATTGCCGGTTTTAAAATATTTTCATATTGAAATTGTCAATTCTTTTCGTTTTATTTACTGTTCTGAGATTGTTTTTGTTTTTACACTTTGGGGAATTTTAGGTCAAGAAGACTTGCCAATAATAATAATAATAATAATAATAATAATAATAATAATAATAATAATTTATTGATACCCCACCATCATCTCCCCAAGGGGACTCGGGGCAGCTAATACGAGGCCAAGCCCAGCAATTACAATATGGCAAAAAGAATACAAACATACAATCATACAATAATACATCGAATAAAATACAATAAAATATAACAAAATAATATAAAATAAACACAATGTATAACATAAAATAACAAAAAATTGAGCCAAGTAGGCAGGGCCAATTACAAAGGATAGGATTTTAAATCCCTGGGTGAGATGGATGAATAGGGTAATGTATCTGGTGGGAGATTCATATGGGTCAAACAATGAGATTTAATTTCACTGAAGGATGAAATAAAGTGCATTGAAGGGCATTTTGTACTGAGCTGGTCAAGGTACGGGGATCTGTTGTTCATTCCTCGAAGGCAGTACAGGCAGTCCCCAAGTTATGAACAAGATAGGTTCAGTAAGTCTTTCCTTAAGTTAAATTTGTCTGTAAGTCAGAACAGGAATATTTTTAAGTGTAACTCCAGCCAAATATGTACATATGTAACAGAGACATAGGCAGCAAAACAAACACCACGGGGGTATTAACCCTTCCCTATACTACACAAAGTGTGTGCGTGCACACACACGCCGCCGATTTCACCTTATTTTCTATCCCTTTGACAATTGGACTCTGAAAAAATTGGCTTGTTGTGGAAACATGGATTGGCGATAAAGCTTCAGTGGAGACACCTTTTCCTCATGATAACTCTTCCACAAGAGAATTTCCCTTCTGGATTTCTCTCACTTTGCATTGTTTCACCCATTCTTTACTGTGAGTCGTTTGCAAGTCGGATGTTTGTAACTCGGGGACTGCCTGTATGTGAAATTAACCCATGGAAAAGAAAAAAAAATGACAAAGTTATTTTATGAGCCAATGCTGCATCACTTTCTGTCCAATTCTAACCATTTGATTAACTTGTCTTATTTTTAAATTGGAATTTTTTACCCTTATATCTGGGAACACATGTCTATGCATATTTATTTATTTACTTACTATATTTATATGCCGCCTTTCTCAGCCCGCAGGCGACTCAAGGCGGTTTACAGTCAGCAACGATTCAATGCCCCCAAAACCATAAAATACAATTAAAAACATTAACATATAATATAAAACTATGTTCTACCAGAATTAAATCCCGTGGGACTTGTTCCCAACTAATTGCACCTATGACTTAAGGCTTAAAATAACCAGACATGATATGCTTTATTAGATAGCATGAAGAGCCAGAGATAATATTCTCTACATGTTATGGACATATCACTACATTGATTAATTCTTCAAAATATTGTAATGTTAATACAGGTTGTTGTTGCTGTGTGCCTTCAAATACATTCTTTCATTCATTCCTTTTTTTCTAACAGAAAAATGCATAGAACACATTGATTTATTGTCGAAGGCTTTCATGGCCAGAATCACTGGGTTGCTGTAGATTTTTCTGTCTGTATGGCCATGTTCTAGTAGCATTCTCTCCTGATGTTTCGCCTAAATCTATGGCAGGCATCCTCAGAGGTTGTGAGGTCTGTTGAAAACTAGTTTAGAAATATCATACATGAAAACGTCAGGAGATAATGCTTCTAGATCATGGCCATACAGCCCGAAAAACCTACAACAACCCATCAATAAATATAATAATTTTATATTTCATATTACATGTAATATTACTAATATTTCAGTATAGAAAACTATTCAATGCCTCAAGACAACAGAATTTTTTTTAAGAACCTTAATGGCACGTATACATCGTAATTGAGGAATGGCTGCAATGATGTACTTTAATATCATCAGCATTGAATAGGATCAGACCACCTACAACAACCCAACACATTGATTTCACTCAAATTGCACTGCGCATGCGCAGAGTCCGAAGTCTTCGCACAACTTTATACTCTGCTGTTAGGTTACACTACACCGCAAGAGGATGATTATGTTCAAACAACCTTGCTTGCTCTTTCTGACAGACAGGGTATCTGCACAGCTTCACCTTTGGCGTCTACGCATGCGCACACCGAGGAGGGCCGCCGCAAAGCTCAGCTACAACTGGGGGAGCCCAAAATCGCTACGGAGCCTGATTAGACATTCCCCTTGCTCCTTTCTGACTGTTCCATTTTCGTCCACCCCCTTTGGCTGCTCTCTCACCACACGCCCCCTCCCTCCGACGCAGCTGCGCGTATTCCCACCAATACCCACCCGGGACGGTATTGTTGTCTTCCTTATAGTTTGCCTAGGTTCCCATTCTGTGCGGACGGGTGAGTTTAAAACCGGGGAGGGAGGGGGGTGCAGGAGGGAGAGGACTTGGCAGCGCGCGCGCGCGACGGCAGTGGCGCCTCGTGCGCTCCATTGTGATGCAGCGCGCGAGGGTGACAGTTGCACAAACGGCCCTAAAGAGGGGCCGGGGGAGGGTCTTCGGCAATGGGAGACAGGCGACGCATGCGCACTCGCGATCTCCCCCTATATTCGCCCCCCCCTTCCGTTGACCTTGGTGTGGATGGAAGAGTCCTTTCAGGAGCCGTTCTGCCAATCAACACAGAAGGACTGGAGCCAGTGGCTTCCACACTTGAGTCCTCCAGGTGTTTTGAACTGCAATTCCCAGAAGCCTCAGCTGCCTTAGCCAATGAGGAGGAATTCTGGGAGTTGAAGTCCAAAACTCCTGAAAGGCCCAAAACATTGGCGCAGTGGACTTTTAAGCTAAGTGTTTGGATAACAGCCTTGCCATGAACAAGAAAAAAACCCCTCCTCCACTATTTTAGCTGTTTTTAATGTATTTGGAGGTTTCTGAATTCGTAAAAATACAATTAAAACCTACTACAAATTTCAGTTCAGGTTGAGCATACCATATATATACACACACACATTTACATTTCACCTGTCATGTCCAGCACTTTTAATTTATTCATTACATTTGGCCCGGCCCTAGTTTTAAATGTGTCATTATGTATTGTTTTGATGTTTTACTGTTATTGCTTTAATGTTTATTGGTTTGCTTTATGAGTTTTATTGTTGTATTTGTTATGCTGTTGTTTTATTGAGGGCCTTGGCCTTTGTAAGCCGCACCGAGTCCTTCGGGAGATGTTAGCGGGGTACAAATAAAGTTAATAATAATAATAATAATTTTATATATCATATTACCTGTAATATTACTAATAATATTACAGCATAGTGGTATAGTGTAATATAGTAATATATAATAGTAATCTTGTGCTGTGCTAATAATATATATTGTATACATACATAATATTGATAATACAATATTGGAGCCCCTGGTTGTGCAGTGCATTAAACCGCTGAGCTGCTAAACTTGTTGCAGGTCGCAGGTTCGAATCCGGGAAGTGGGCGTGAGCTTCTGCTGTTAGCCCCAGCTTCTGCCAACCTAGCCTTTCGAAAACATGCAGATGTGAGTAGATCAATAGGTACCACTTCGGCGGGAAGGTAACGACATTCCATGCAGTCATGCTGGCCACATGACCTTGGAGGTGTCTACGGACAACGCTGGCTGTTTGGCTTAGAAATGGAGATGAGCACCAACCCCCAGAGTCGGACATGACTGGACTTAATGTCAGGGGAAAACCTTTACCTTTAACTATTTATAATATTATAATGTAGTAAAATAGAAAAGTACTAATAATAATACAATATAATAATTTTATATTTCAAATTACATGTAATATTACTAAATATATTGTAGCAGACCTTTTTGCCCAATAGGGCCCTCAGCCAAAGCTTGGCTTGCAACCGTGGAGCGAGCGCAGGCAGGAATCAAAGGGACGGACAACGTGATTCATCCAAAGGAAAAGCAGTTTATTAAGTTCCAAGCAGCTGCCTGGTCACCTCCAACGCAACGAGGCGTTTCTGAGGAAGCGACCCCCCTCTGGTGGGCTGAACTCCTTATATATATTTTGGAAAAACGAAAGTTCTCATTTCCCTGAAATCATGTGATTTCCGAGAAATCAGGTGGTTCCTTCAGGGGCTGCACCCCGCACTCAACCTTTGCACAGAGCCCCGCACTCAACTTTTGCACACGGGACCCCCCCCCCTCACCTTCCTTATTTGGCAGCATATCCCTTATTCCCATTTCCACAACAATAAGGCTGCCTCAATATTACAGTGTAGTGTTATAGTACAATATAGTAATATATAACACCAATATTGTGCTTTTTTTTTCTTTGCTTTTTTTGTCATGTCAGGAGCAACTTGAGAAACTGCAAGTAGCTTCTGGTGTGAGAGAGTTGGCCGTCTGCAAGGACGTTGCCCAGGGGACGCCCGGATGATTTGATGTTTTTTTATCATCCTTGTGGGAGGCTTCCCTCATGTCCCCGCATGACGAGCTGGAGCTGATAGAGGGAGCTCATCTGCCTCTCCCTGGATTCGAACCTGCGACCTGTCGGTCTTCAGTCCTGCCAGCACAGGGGTTTAACCCACTGCGCCACCGAGGGCTCCAATATTGTGCTATGCTAATATAATATATTGTATACACGTATAATATTGATAATATTATAATGTAGCAATACAGTACTAATAATACAATATAATAATTTTATATTTTGTATTACATGTAATATTACTAATATTGCAGCATAGTGGTATAGTGCAGTATAGTAATACATAATACTAATATTGTGCTGTTCTAATAATACAATATATTGTATGTACATATAACTTGTAAGCCGCTCTGAGTCCCCTTCGGGCTGAGAAGGTCAGTCTATAAATGTCGCAAATAAATAATACACAATACTCCACATGGGTGGCTGAGACAGTGACACCTTCAATTCCTTATGTTTCGGTGTACACAAACTTTATTTCAAGCAAAGAGTTGTTACAATTGTGTGTGCAATTAGCTTCAGGCTACGTTTATAAGGCGTACATGAAATATCAATGAATTTCAAGTTTAAATATGGTTCTCATACTTCAGATCCCAAGCATTTTGGATAAGGGGTAGTCAATCTGTACTTGCTTTCAGTCAGTCTCAACGTAGAAGCATTAAAAGTCTCCAAAGAAGGAATCTCCACCACGCTCTGGGGCAGAGAGTTCCACTGCTGAACAGCTCTCACTATTAGGAAGTTCTTCGTCATATTCAGGTGAAATCTCCTTTCCTGTAGTTTGAAGCCACACTCGGATAATGTGGGATTTTCTGCCTTGATATTCTAGGATATAGGGCTGTGTGGAGTATCTTGCATTTGTCCCTGTTGAACTTCATTTTGTTAGTTTTGGCCCATCTCTCTAATCTGTTAACGTTGTTTTGGATTCTGCTCCTATCTTCTGGAGTATTAGCTATCCTTCCCAATTTGGTGTCTTTTGCAAACTTGATTATCATGCATTCTAACCCTCTAAGTCATTAATAAAGATGATTTGAGGTTAGATCTACTCTGAAAATTTCTTTCAATCCCTGTGTTGGGCAAGTCACACGCTCTTGACCTAAAGCAAAAGGAAATGTTGTCTGAACAGATCTGGCCAATAAAACCTTAGGGACAACCATGCATCAGAAATTTCTTGAAAGCTCGCAACAGCAGATGTAGGAGAAATGTGTTCAGGATTTTTAAGTGCCTTGAATAAAAGTTGATGTATACATGGGAATAAAAAAAGATTGTGAGACGGTCTGTTCTGGGAAGGATCAACTCTTGCACTTACCCAATGACAAATTCTTACACCCCTTTAAGGAATGAAGTGTGAATGTGTACACAAACAGAATACAGTTGACTTTCTGTATCTACAGATTATGCATTCATGGGTTTAACCTTGATTTTACCACATCATTTTATGAATATAGTGGGATATGAACATTCACAGATGATGATATCCACTGGGTATCAAGGACCCACTGTATAAGATAACTTTTAGAAATGGAGTTTCTCTTCATGTTTCATAAAATCATAGAGTTGGAAGAGACCACATGGGCCATCCAGCCCAACCCCCTGACATTCAGGAAAACCACAATCAAAGCACTCATACTGATGTCCCTTCTACACTGCTATATAATCCAGAATCTTATTTAAATTGGATTATATGAGTTTACGCTGTCATATAATCCAATTCAAAGCAGATAATCTGGATTTTATAGAAGTTAAACCTGCAAATGTGGATGGCCAATTCAGATTCTGTTACCGTAATGTTATAAGAAAACAGCCTGTTCATGTCCAAATCAGTCACAGCCATGACTAAACCTCTGACTTCCAGCAGCCTATGCTTTTGAAAACTGATGAACAGTCTGATTAATCATAGAGAAAATTTTAGAGTTGTGAATATACATTAAGGTGAAGACTGTTGTAGCACTAATCTTGCAAAGATCCTATTACTTGGAAAGCAAAAGAGGCTCGAAGAACTCATTCTCACTCCAAATCCTCTTGAAATTAGATGCAAGGTAGAAAACCAGAACTTGAACATGAAATATTCAAATACAGTAAATAAGTAAATAAATAAATAAACCTTCAAACCAACTTCACCCCCCCCCCACCCCCCGTTTGTGTTTGTTTTTTAATAGCTAAGAGCACATACTGAGATAGAGAATGCTCAATTTCTATCTACTTAACTGACTTTCTTCCGGTCTTAACAGACAATAGATGGGCTTGCAAGTGATGGATTACTTGTGTCTTGTACTTCTTTATGTTGTCTGTCTCTTTGTCACAAGCTTCCCTGTGTCCTCCATGATAAAGGGCTATATTTAGAAGTCTGCCTAACATTTGTGATGCTTCTTATTCTGCACACAGAATAAATTGCTCCATTGTTATCTCACCAGTCCGTTATCAAGTTTCATCCCTATAGACTTGCCTTCATTTGCCACAGTTTGTTTATTGTTGTTTTATCAGGGAGCATGCTTAAAACAACATCACATAGTCATCACAAGATAAAGGGACACCTGGCGCAATCAAATAGTAGTAATTTTAAAAATAAAAAAATGACTTCTGCTGCAACTCCTTAGCTTAATTGCTAGATCGATAAACCCTAGTGCAATTGTAATTGTAAAAAAAATCTAGCTGAGAGTTAAATAAATATTTTGTTCATTTAAACAAAAATAAAAATTCTGAACCACATTGCAATCCTGATCCCAGAAGGTGGTAGGAAAGGGTAGCATCACCCTCTAAAACAGGGGCCCTCAAACTGGAGGCCGGATGTGGCCCTCCAAGGTCATTTACCTGGCCCTTGCTCAGGGTCAACCTAAGTCTAAAATGGCTTGAAAGCACATAACAACAACAACATCAATCCTATCTCATCAGCCAAAAGCTGACACACACTTCCCAGTGAAATACTAATAAGTTTATATCTGTTAAAATTGTTCTTCATTTTAATTATTGTATTGTTTTTAAGTGTTTTTTGCACTAATAAGATATGTGCAGTGTGCATAGGAATTCATTCATGTGTTTTTCAAATTATAATCCGGCCCTCCAACAGTTTTAGTGACTGTGACCTGGCCCTCTGTTTAAAAAGATTGAGGACCCCTGCTCTAAAATGAGGAACTTTAGATTTTTCAGCTGTACTCATGTACCACTGTATTCCTCAACCAGACTGCTCCAAATGTAGGAGATGCCTGTAGTGGAGTCAATCATCCTATTTTCTTAGATATGGCTCCTCAGTTATGAGTACTATAGATAAGCTGCCCCATCCAGTATAAATGCAGAGGATTTTCTTTTTTTTTAAAAAAAAAAAAAATCCTTTCTGCATACCCAGCTGCCAGGCCTCTGGGAGTAGCAGACAATCTACAACTTGTGTGTCCCTTCCACGGACATACTTAAGTTTGCTATCATTCTGTTTAACTAGCTTGCCCTGTAGCTACAGAGGAAGGAGTTGGCAAAGCCACATCTGAGTATTTGCCTTAAAACCTTATGAAATTCATGAGGACACCATAAATAGAAAGGCAATTCAAAGACACACATTGGAAGGGGCAAGAGTTGTGACGTCCTATTCTCTAGATACAATGTAATTATATGTATGTTTACTCCAAAGCAATAAAAATGCCCCATAAAAAGTAAATGTATGTACAGGATTAGAGCTGGAGTTTGCCCTGGCTTTTTTATTTAATGATACCCACTATCTCCATCTTATTTTGATAGCCCGAGGCTAAAGCTGTAGTCCTACAGCATTTAGTCATGAGTAAGTCTCATTAAATACAGCATGACTTATGTATGAGTCGATATAAGATAGTGTATAAGGCATTTTTCAAATAATGCTAAGACTAGGAATAAGAATTTGGTATTAAATTTCAATTTTTTTCTGAATGTGTTTTATTGTGGAATATACTCAGCATATTTTACATATGACAGTACATAATACTGTCATCAAATATGTTTGAATGGTTTTAACTGTGAATCAATACTGTTTATATTTAATTCTGTTCTAATATTTTTATATTTTAAATGCGGTGCTATCATTTTTATGTTAAGCTGCTTTGAGTCCCTTTGGGGGAGATAAAGTGGGGCATTAATAACAACAACAACAACAAATATCCCAAAGATCTATTTAGTCATAGATACATATCTGAAACTCAGGAGAGCCAGAGCATTATAGATTTCAGTTGCATTCTGAGACAGTATATTTTTTCACAAAGGCCTAAACCATGTTCTTGCTCCCATGTAGAAAAGATTCTTTCAATCAGTGAAATTTACCTATGTGTTGACTCCTCATTCAGCAGTTTTTGGAATGGGTCTATTCTAGTTGGGACTAATTGACAGACTGCTAGCCAATGAGTTCTGCTCCCCAATAAGTGGCAAAAGTATTATAGCTTGGACCCTATGAACCCTACACTAGTTGCACAATATGAAGGGAAGTCCACTTGGACTGTTCCCAGCTGCTGGGGCTGCTTTCTTCAAAGGGCGGAAAGTGTGCTGGCAGCCGGGGAAGGTATTTACAAAGCCCTAGTGCGAACAGAGAGGCAGGAACCAGATCCCTCCCCCTTTCCCCTCTTCTTCTGCTTTTCCCCGCCCGCTTTCTAACAGTGGAGGGCAGGGCATGTGAGCCATAGACCCCTCCTCCTCCTCCCTCTCTCGCAGCTGCGTCTCTCACTCACTGCGCTGTCTCATGCACATCTTTCCTTCATGAATATTGACCTGCGGTGCACATAGGGTCCCAGCTATCATATTTTTGCCCAATAAAAAGCATCTGGGCAGGTGTTTATACATGTTGTTCTCGGCATCACAGAAATTTTGCCTGAAATCCAGTGCACGCTGGCTTAAGCTTAGAGTCAGAAAAAATGTGGTTATACTTTAGTTTTTCTTTTATTATTAACACATATTTATATACAACTTATTTCGAAACATTTCAAGCTAATGTGTACCAGTTCTGATCTCTAGTATTAATGTTTTCACGGGTTGACCACATGCATTATTTTTCAACTGGGCAAATGTTTTCTAAGCCAGTGTAATAGAGAAAAAACATCTGCATCTGTTACCTTTGCCTCTTGTCTCTCTAGAACTGTAGTTCTCAACCTATGGGTCCCCAGATGTTTGAGCCTTCAACTCCCAGAAATCCTAACAGCTGGTAGACTGGCTGGGATTTCTGAGAGTTGCAGGCCAAAATACCTGGGGACCCTCAGGTTGAGAACCACTGCTCTAGGTGGTAATCCATCTAACAGAACTACCTTCCCTAGAGGAGATAGAAAGATCTGACAATTCCTTCTCTTTCTCTACCTTGTACCCTCTGAAACCAACAGAGGGAGTAGCAAAGTATGTGTGAATTTTTTTTTAAACACACATTGGATTCATCGATTCCTGTTTTTCCCATCATCAGGCATAAAAGAATTACCAATATAATAAGCAAAATGGCATTCAACTTCAAGGCGGGAGTACTTATAGTACAGGCAAAAGAGATACAAGCATCCCTGAAATTAATTATCTAAGACTCGGATCAAAAAGGTCTGCCTCCCCACAAGAAAAAATCAAGAAAGAAGCTATCTGGCCTCTCTCCATTTAAGCTGCTCAGTTGCCTTCTTGCACATCCCCTTCCCATTTTGTTACCTTTAGAATCATTATTATGCTACACTGTTATACCTGCAACCTGTGAAGAGGAGCTGCCTCATCTCTTCGTATCTGTATAGTTTGAACCTTTTTAGATTTTCTTGTGAAGATTATTAAGTATTCACTTTTATTTTTATTTTGCTTATTGACAGGTAGAAACCTCCTACATGAACTAACATGACATCATGGCAAGATTTCGCCGGAGAACATGCGTCATTTTGTTGCTGTTTATTTTATTTATTTGCTCCATAATGATGGCCTTGAAAACTTTGAGACCCGAACGAGCAGGATTTGGAGATCCATTTGGTATTGGTCTTTTGCCAGATTTTCAGCAGCAAACAAAATATTTAAAAAATAAATTCAGTCTACAGAAGGAAGCCAAGGAAGATAGCTTCACACATGCCAAAAATGCACGCTCTCCGATAATGAATGACAAAATGCCAACAGGAAGAGTAGACGAAGAGCTGCCATCTCCAAATTACAACTTCCATGTGTTTTACTATAGCTGGTTTGGGACTCCACAGTTTGATGGGAAATATATTCACTGGAACCACCCATTGCTGACACACTGGGATCCCAAAATTGCAAGTGGTTATCCACAAGGAAGACACACTCCTCCAGAAGATATTGGCTCTAGCTTCTATCCTGAACTTGGTCCATATAGCTCCAGAGATCCTTCTGTCATTGATGCTCACATGAGGCAGATTCGCTCAGCCTCCATTGGTAAATAGGTATTTTTGAGACATTTTCAGTAAATTCCTGTATTTTCTCCAATACATTGAAGCTATAAGGGAAGATTTTTTCCTGTATTATTATTTCACTATTAATTTTCACCCATTATCTGATTCTTCATTAAATCACAACTGTCTCTTGTTCAGGGGCTGAGTAAAAAATGTCTTGTGGTAACCATACAGAAGGTAACTTTATGAATTATCTAGTTATGTTAGATTTGCCCTGTGACTTTAGCTAAACCATGGTTTGTTAATATGTTTGAACCCAAACTAACTTGCTAAGCATATTTTCTTTGCACACTGACAATACTTTGAAGCTGGTTTATCACTCACAGCTTGTGTTAAGTGGAGTTTGTATTTTCATTCAAATTTGCAGATCCTAATTTGTTGTGACCCTTTTTGCCCTGTCTCACTCCACCACTCTGCTTAACAACAGATTTGTTCCCCATTCCCACTCTTTATTGTCTGTCCCTCACTAGGCTGAATGCCCATCTTCTAAACTGGCTTATGGGAAGGTTGGGAGGAACTTAATTGACATAAGGATTGCTTGCTGATGATTTTCCAAGGACAATAAGTACCATGTTTCTACATGCATCTTTGTAAATTATTTATTTATTTATTTACTCTTATTTGTATCTTCCCTTTCTCTATTCCGAAGGGGACTCAAGGCAGCTTTACATATGGCAACTATTCAGTTATTGAAACACACCTTTTTATTTCCCTCCGCTTTTAAGATATAGCAATATACCCAGGTCTTCATGACAAAATGCCAACATTGCCTCTAAGCCTATATGGAAATATATTACCTTCTCCATCAGTACCTCTTGACTCTACATACATTCTTAGAAGTGCGCATGCCAGTGACTGAAAAATTTATCATCTCACCAAAAAAAGTGACTCTGGGAATTATTTTGTTGAAGACATGTTCTTCTTTGTTCTCTGTACATTAAAGCCCCAAGCCAGAGATTTAGGCATGATGTGTATACTTGTCCCATTATTCATCTACCTGAGGGTAAATCTCAGGATGAGGTTAATATACTACATATCCCCCCCCCCGGGCAAGAATTCTACTTTGGCATACCAGAAGGTCCATGCCTTCCAAATATTGGTGGGGGGGGGCACTGCCATAGAATTTCCACCCAAGGCAGTTTCTGCGCGTGGAACAGGGCCACTATAGCTGCTGGATCCCCTTCCCTGCCAATAGGCACCCAGTTGACCTGTAACATAGGAAAAGTAACTACATATTTTGTTTGTTAGGGGTGCTGGCTCTTTCTTGGTATCCACCCAATATGGCTGATGAAAACGGAGAACCTGCTGATGTTCTGGTGCCAACCATTTTGGATATTGCAGATAAGTACAAATTAAAGGTCAGTTTCATCTGATAAAACTGTAGATGAAATGTGTATATTAAGTTAACAGAATTTAGGTTGTGGTCTTATATCAGTTTATCCCAGAATGTATTGAGGTGTGTGTCTCAAGAAAAATATACAGTATATATAGAATTGTACCATGGAAGTTGCTGTCATGTATCTTTTCATTTCAGCAAAAGCACTTTAGCTGTGTAGTGCTAAATGTTTATGTCAGGGGTTCCCAAATTAAGGCCTTTGAGCTGGATGTGGTCCTCCAAGGCCACTTACCTGACGTAGGGTCGCCCTAAGTCAGAAACAGTTTGTAGGCAGACAGCAACAGCAATCCTAATTAAATTGACTATCTCATCAGCCAAAAGCATGCCCACACTTCCCATCGAAATACTGGTTAGTTTATATTAGTTAAAATTTCTATTCATTTCAAATATTGTATTGTTTTTTCTTTGTTTTCTGCACTACAAACAAGAATATGTGCAGTATGCATAGGAAATAGCTCATGGTGTGTTTTTTTTTTGAAACTGTAGTCCAGCCCCCCAACAGACTGAGGGACCATGAACCGGCCCTCTGCTTTGAAAGTTTAAGAACCTGTGGTTTATGTTTTGTGAAGTCTAAATATCCAAAATGCACTGGACCTTGTTTGATCTTGGAAGCTAAGTGGGATGAATAAAGTTAATACTTGGATGGGAAACTACTGTATTTCAGAGAAAGGAACTATCAAATCCACCTCTTGAGTATTCGATGCCTAAGAAAACCCTATCCAAATTCATGGGGTTGTCAATATGCAAATTGATTCCAAGGCGGTTCAGTCCATTTGGTCAAATTTAATAGAGGACCTTGTACTTTTGAAACATGAAAGCAATCTTCAGTATAATCTATGCATATCTAATCAGAGACAAGTCCCATTAGTCCCAGGAGAACTTATTCCAGTATGCACATTGTTATACACAGTTACCTATGCCATTAAATTCAATGAGTTGTTTCTTTGAATTCAGTGGTGCTTGGTTTCAAGTTGTGCTATTGTGCTATTTCAGGTTGTGCTATTAGTATATGGTAAATGAGATTTTTCCATGTCATTTTTGGTAGCATACCATACCAGTATTATTATTTTTTAGGGATTATGAGATTATATCAGTTCTGTTCTTTATTTTTTTTTCTCAAGATGTTGCCACCCCCTCTTGTATCCATTTGCAGTAGTGGTTGATTTGCAGTAAAATAGATTTCCCTGAATAGATGTATATTGGCTCGTACTGTAGCCAAAGTCATACAGTACATCCAGTAACTGCCGTGAGTCCATCTGGGGAGAGAGAGAGATAAATAGAATAGATAGAAATAAAGATAGTGATGATGATTACTGCATGAATGGACTTTCACTTCTCTTTGAAGTAGCAGTTGCCTAGCCACCCTGAACACATTGAGATTTTTCTCCAAAGTCTTTTTGCATTTCTATAAACTAGGACTAGGTATACTTTTAAAATCTGTAAGATGATATTTCCTGATTTTTGACTGCTTTACAAGGGAGTGGTGCGTCAGTGTGGTGGTCACTTTAGGCACCACGCCTTTTGTGTGTGTGTCAGGAGTGAGTTGAGAAACTGCAAGTCACTTCTGGTGTGAGAGAATTGGCCGTCTGCAAGGATGTTGTCCAGGGGATATTTGGATGTTTTACCATCCTGTGGGAGGCTTGTCCTTTTCAGTCAGCAGTCCTGCCGGAACAAGGGCTTAATCCATTGTGCCACCAGGGATTCCACTTTGGGCAACTGAAAATAATTTTAAGCTATTTTGAATAGATTCCAGGGAAACAGAATGAGAATACCTAAAAAAATGGAGACAGTGTAAGAGGACAGGGTTGCCACAGTTCCCCTAAACCCACTTCCCAGAAAGACTTTTTTTCAAGCCACCTCTGAACCTCATAAACAGAGAGAATAAACTGGGTAGTGCTAATTTTATTGTGATATCCTGTTTCAAGTTTATTTCTTTTTAAAAAATAATCTATCAATGTTTTCATTTTTCAGATCACTTTTCATATTGAGCCATACAAAGACAGAGATGATCGCAATATGTACACCAATATAAAATACATCATAGACAAGTAAGAAATTTCAGAAGTATTTGATATTAGCTTAGGAAACTGGTGATACTCCAGTTAGGAATTTTATAATGATAAACATTAGAACTAGTGATTTTTGTGTTTTAGATTTTATGCATGATCCCTTTAGGAAATGCTTAAGAATGTGGGTAAACTACAACTCTCATCGTCATCTGTCAATGCCCCCAAACCCCACCAGATGTTGAAGTTGGTTATGATGGGTATGTGTGCCACGTTTGGTCCAGATCTATTGTTCAAGCAAAAAACATCAGTAATGGAGGGGAGTTTTAACAAGCAACAATTTTAAAAGGCATAAAACACCCTCTTAGGAGTGAAGGTAAAACTTCCACACTCCGTTTTTGTCATAGGGGAAAAATTGAGATAGGGTAGATATGGGATGGGAATTTCTAGTTAATATTCTACAAAGACAGGTATTGACAAGCCTAGTGCTTCAAGGAACAGTGGAAGCACTGCTAAGTTTGTTTCTATTTCATAAGATCTTTTGCATTTCAATCAGTCACAAGTCCAAGTAGTCAAGACAAAATGTAGACGGTGCCATACATAGTTAGTGGAATGAAATATTCACCCCCTTTCAATGGCAGAGTTGCAGGGGAATGTGCTGCTGAATAAGTATGTTTTCTGGAGGACATTTGGTTACTGAATAATTGTGAATTGCAACAATGTAAGGCAGACTTACAATTACAAACAGAATTTTAGCCATAGTATTCTTACAGTGGTTTTTTTAAACAAATATAAAGGACGTATATAATATTCTCGTACTCAATTACAAATATTCCAGTGAAATAATTTCTACATAAATCTTTGAATGTGTTTGAAAGCAGTATTAAAACCAAATGTTTTGAACCTGATCATAGACCATTGGACAATTTTCTGGAAAACCTTCCATTTCCCCTTTTCCTGAAAATCCATATCACTCATTGCTTCATCTTGCACTTTGTGTGTTTTTGCGTTAGGTGTTGTACACAGACCAGAATATCACTTAAATCACATTAACAATTTCTTGTTGAAAGCCAACATTTGGTATTTTTATTGTTGTATTTATATATCATTATCTTTCATGTTATCTGCCTTCCCTGATCTCTAGTGAGCCTGGACTACTGTATTTTCTAGCGTATAAGACTAGTTTTTAACCCAGGAAAATCTTCTCAAAAATCGGGGGTTGTCTTATATGCTGGATGTTGTCTTATAGGGTGGGTGCTGAAACTTCTGAGCCAGATTGGAGGATCTGCGGTTGCCGCATATGGTGGGAAAAGCACAAAAATGGCCATGGCCACATCCCCGCCATATGCGGCAACTGTATGAAAGCAGCATGGGTGGCACTGTACAAGTATGGTAGAAGAAAATCCACTCACCAGGATTCATGGGAACAAGTGGCTTAACGCAGTCCTGATGATGAGGTGAGGGGGCGCCTCACTGGGAAGATGTAAGTGAAGGGCAGAGCAAGCTGCAGGCGTCCGGGATGCCTGGTGTATGAAAAAAAAGAGATAGAGCGGCGCTGTGCCCAGAAAAGCATGCCTCTTTCACCCGTCTGCCCCACCCTCGTATCCTATAACCATACCTTCTTCCCTGCTTCTCAGATCTCGCTCCTGAGGACTGCAGAGAAGCAGCACAGGTGCGCATGCGCAAGATCTGAGGGGCAGAGAAGGAGGTATGGTAATAGGAAAATTATCATACTGATATCAAATCTGATGGTTTTTGGGTTTTGTTTTTTTTAAAAAAAAAATGGTGTGCGTTGGAAGAGGGGTAGTCTTGTACAGCGGGTATATCCCAAACTCTATATTTTAACTGGAAATGTTGGAGGTCGTCCAGTCATCTTATATGCTGGAAAATACAGTAGGTGAAAGATAATGACTTGTGAATTAGAAGTAGAGTAACTTTGTTGTCATTAAATGAGGAAGACTTAATTAATTAGAATTAATTGTATATGACAACATAAATTATTCTCTAATGCTAGTGATGATTCCACATTTCAGATGGAAGAGTGTGGGGTTTAAACAACAGCTTCTAGTACTTTGAAAGTAATAGAAAGAATGTTTACTTCTTCATCTTCTTTGCTTTGTAGATATGGAAGCCATCCAGCTTTTTACAGACACAAAGTCAGCACAGGTAGAACCCTTCCCATGTTTTATGTTTATGATTCTTACATAACAATTCCTGAAATATGGGCAAATCTGCTTACTATATCAGGATCCCAAAGTATCCGAAACACACCTTATGATAGCTTATTCATTGCCCTTCTTGTGGAAGAAAAACACAAGCATGAAGTCTATAGAAGTGGCTTCGATGGAATTTATACATATTTTGCCACAAATGGATTCTCTTACGGCTCAAGCCATCACAACTGGCCCAGTCTGAAAGCTTTTTGTGACACCAAAAACTTAATGTTTATTCCAAGCGTGGGTCCAGGCTACATAGACACCAGCATCCGACCCTGGAACAACCACAACACGCGGAACCGTGTCAACGGCAAGTACTATGAGACAGCGTTCAGCGCAGCGCTACTAGTACGGCCTGAAATAATTTCCATCACCTCATTTAACGAATGGCATGAAGGGACGCAGATTGAAAAGGCCATTCCAAAGAAGAACGGAAAGACAGCTTATTTAGACTATCAGCCGCATAAACCAAATATTTATCTGGAGCTCACTCGAAAGTGGTCTGAAGAATATAGCAAGGAGAAGGAACAGTGGCTTACATGAGATGCAACTGCGTTCGGCGATTCCACAATGAGCCCCTCCCTGTGTCTCACTGGTAAACTGAGAGCTTTGTGATGTGTGAGGGTGGCACCTGCACTATTGCTATCGCTTTGCTAAGACAGAACTAAAAGAGTAAAAGTGACAATAGCAAGCAATACTAACTCCTCGGTTTCTTATATTATATGGAGAATATCCTGGTAGCAATACAATACTGTACATACTAATACTCTGCGTATTTCAAGTACACCACAAGAATATGTGATTAATTATTTTAGTGGAATGATACAGAACTTACTTCCATTTCATATTTTGGGTTTTTAACCCAGTTGATTATATAGGCTCTCTGCATGCAGCTAGGCTTCTGAGTGTTTCTTTTCTAGAAGAAAACCCTCCAGTTGCTTCTCAGAGTTAAGCAAATTTAGAAGCAGTTTCCAATGTAGTATGAGTAGATGTAGCCAGACACTAAAACTTTGGTGTTCATCTAAAAGCCCTTTCGTGGCAACTTGTTGGATCAGGTTTCAGAACGACTGTGAAGAAAAATGTCCTTTCGGGTACTCTGTCGAGAATATTTTATTCTCAAAGACTACTAATCAAAACAACTACAAATCAGCTTTTATTTGATGGTAAAGAACACAATGCAGTAGGATTTTCTCAAGAGCCACTTAAAATTCAACTTGGAGCCCTAGAAGAGCACAGACTTTTTCCTGTGCCAGCCCTATTCTTTTTGGTGCAAACAGCCAAAATTAGTGGTTGATATTCATGCTGTGTATTTTTAATATTTCCTAGGTGTCCAAAGTGTATATTTTACATAGAGGTTTAAAAGTGTTATCTTTAAGTTTGTTCTTACTTTGGTAAAAATGAGTGATGTGAAATTGTGATACTGATAGTTACTAATAGTTTTAGTGAGGCTTTTTAAAAGCAAATATTTGGCAATGTTGCATGCCTCATGTTAAAACTTGAAGCAAACAATCAGTTTTATGTAATGGCTTTGCCTACTAACTAGCATAACTAGAACTAGCAAATGGATTTAAGTCCTTAAGAAGAAATAATTTATTACCACTAAAAATATATCTTTTTAGTTTAGGCTGACAACCTGCTTGGATCCCCGCTCTACACAAGAGGAGAAAATGTTCCCTCACAGGTTAGCAGCTCCTAATAAGTTAGTTCCCTGGTTGTTGACAAGATGCCAATTCGAAGGCATTTGGAACATTATGTGGGTGAGGACTGAAGTGGAAATGTTACAAGATGCAAACGTAGCAGCCATTAACAGGTTTATTAGGCACTTGAATTATTTTCAGAGAAGAAGAACATGTTTTAGCAAGATTTGGCTTTTTAAAAAGCAGGCTAAAAATTAATCTTCTGGAAAAATATGAAATTGTGGTCAAAGTACAAAGCAGCAAAATGATGATAGTTAGTTTGAATAAATGGAGAGTAACCTAGATTAAAGCTGCCAAAATCATATTAGAGTAATACATGCACATTCTTCATTTACAATCTTTGTTGGCACAGATTTATTAAAAGAGATTGAAGCACCTTCAGATTTATACTAGCAGTTCAATCTTCTCTTCCATGAGTGTGCTGTTTCAATATTTAGGTGGAAGATTGCTCACATGCAACTGCCTCATATCTGTGCCCCATATACTCTTTACCATTGATGTCTCAAAAGTGATTTATTAAAATGATGTCAATAATAAATATATTTAGCTTCATATACAGGAATTTAAAAGTTGGGTGTATTTTGATCCCAGTGAGAATTTCAGTTTATTGTGAAGTATAAAAATACCCCATATCCAAAGGAGTGTTACAAAATCAAACATATTCCACCCACACTCTCAAATGAGAAAGAATTAGGCAGAATAAAAATAAAACAAAGAACCTCTTATGTTGTGAAGTATATACTGATACAGATGAAATCCATTGTCTTCCCAATGGAAGAAATTATGTTAATTTTCTCAGAATGGAATTAGCCCACTGACAATTGCAGCACATGCCATCTGCTTCACTGTTATCGTGATATACCTAGATAGAGAGAGAAAAATATCGTGGAATATACCCTTCTATGTTACAGCAGGGGTGGCGGAGTATCCAAAGGCAGAAATCAGTATTATTATTATTTACCCTATTTATACTCCATCTTTCTCTACCCTAAAGTAGATTTGTTTGTTCAATTTTAACAGGGTCTAAAATGTCCCATCCTAGTGCATACTAATAAAAAAGTAACTCAAAAAACAAATCTTTGGAATTTAAAGTTTTTGGCTTGGACTTAAGTTTCATATATGGGCCATTTTTTGGCTTAGTGTCCCATTCAAATCCTGTTTTTCAGTACAGAGGCTTGTTTTACAAGAGTATCTGTGCTTTTCAATAACAGACTATAGGATGTTGTGGTTTTTTAATGAGTGCCTTATGATGTCTAAGTTCAAAGTGCCTCTTCACTGAGCTCCCTTGACACACAAAACTAATAGTAAACCCTCCAGCATAATTCAATGTATATTTCATGAGCTTGGTTTTGCAGTTTTCAGAACTTTATTACAACACATAGTATTCATTATGAAGGAGGGATGGTGTTTTTCTCATTTGACTAGCAATGGATAAAAATTTCTTCCCACTTCATGATTTGGAACGGGGCATTGCAAACCATCACTGTGATGTGATGATTTGAGTGTTGAGTGAGGACTCCAGGATATCAGGGTTTAAATCCCTGCTTGGTCATATAAAACTTACATATGACTTTAGGCAAGCCACATTCCCTCAGCCTCAGAAAGGCAGCAGCAAACCTGTGAGTAAATCTTGTCAAGGAACCACTAGAGTGCAATTGACAGAAATCTGAGTTGACCTAAAGGCACTTAACATCAATGACAAACCAAATCGCTTTCTTTAGAAAGTAACAGATAATCTGATTTATTTGGATCCCATTCTTAAATCCAGGTTCCAGTCATTGGTCTTCTGATGACCTTGTCAGAAACATAATAGGACTCACACTTTTTCTTCTTTGCAGCCTTTCCCCTTTTTCCTGGACTGGTAGCTGCAAGTATGACTACTCCAAGAATGATTTGCCAGAGGCTTCTCTTTCTCCTCTGGCATTTGTCTTTTTTAGGGTGACCAGGAAAGTATATGTCATATGAATAATCTGGAAGAGATTTATTGAGACTGCTTTCTCCTCTTTCTCCTCTTCCTCCTGCTAGGCCAACTAAGTAAAAACAAGAAGTGAGAGAGAATCCAGAAAAGAACAAATTATACTGTAAATCCTATTGATTTCTGCAAATTCCACCCCTCATTTTCTTTCAGCTACTGACAAATCCTTTAGGAGTTAATGCAGATGAAATCCATATTTTCTTGCTGCCCTAAAAATAGAAATTAATCATATTCGGTGATTTTTTTTTACCAGAGATCTTGTCAAAAATTGACAGTGGAGGGTTTATTTCTTTTAAAAATACAGATTGACGGGCATCAACCATTAAACATTTTTAAATAACAAATGCAGAACTACATGGTTGCTTTTTCTTAATATATTAACATCCCTGCCTTCTAAGCCATGGTAAAAGATTCATGACATACCCTCTGAGATATTTTTAAAGCCTTATAAAATTACATTAATAGTAATGATAAAAACTTAAAAAGAGACACAAGAGAAACATAGGGATAAACAATTGTCATAAGGCTGACATTTTAGAAACATCAGCCAGAATGGTTTCAATCCAAAATATTACATCAAGGTTTAAGTAGACTCACTGGACAAAGTCTTCTACAAACAGGAGCCAAAATTGAAAAGGTTGTCTCCCCTCCCTTGTCACCACCCTTTAAGACTCACACAGGTAAAAAACTGTAAGAAGCCTCTAGACACTGATTTCAAAATTTGAGCAAAAATAGGGTGAGAAAGGTCAAGATCAAGTACTGGGATCTCAGGCCATATGATGTTTCAAAGACTGAAACCACTATTAATGGATATCATTAAATCCAAAAACATTGTTGTGTATTTCCTTGCATTGAAGAAACAGGGAGGGATGAAGATTACTTCCCTGCTATATAATCTTAAAAGCTGTAGCAAGTCAAATGGATGGTGAACTGAAACTCTTTTATGCACTCTATTTATTCCTAATTGACCATATTTTTGAGCTAATAAATAGAGACAACAGTGCTAGGTTTTTAAATTAAATGTAAAACATACTGTTTCATAGGTGATATCAAAGAGCTTTGCTAACATTCTTTTCTAGAAGTCAAGTTGATTATTATTTATTACTTTTATCATTTTACTAATTACTATGTAAATTGATTATAAGAACAGCCTATTGCAAGAGCCAGAAAGAAATGAACAGAGAATAAATACAGTGATTTGGAGTGTTTGCATATGCATGATACAATTGATCAAATGAGTGACATTAACCTAAGGTTTTTATAAGCCTTTTTCTGTCTTTTCACTTCTTCAGTTGTGCTCCTGCTCAGAGCTGGGATCAAACTGAGTTAAGTACATGCAGCATCTGAAAAGTGGTAGGCTGCATCTCAAAGTGAAAAGTGGCTTGTATTTTTTGTCCAGTAGGCAGATACAGTTTGGACTTCAAAGAAAACTCCAGTTAAACAAGCACTGTTCTCTCCTGTACACTCCAGGCTTCAGGAGACCTGCAAAATAGTTCTGGTGTCAGAAGAATTTGTGGCAGTCCTTTTCCTTCAGAAGTTGGAGTCTTGAAAGCAGGGGATGCTGAAGTAGTATGTTTTTAATGACCTAGTTCTTCTGTCTCTGACTTTTCTTTGTAATCTCTGCTAATGTGTAGCAGAGAGTTTACACTCATTTTAAGACAGCAGTATCAATGGGATTGTTTCAATCTATAGCAGAAGTGAGCAGTTTCAAAGGTTCCATATTTCCAATTCCCACCCACTCTGAATTGGCAGTTGGTTGCACTACTGTTATATAGATGTGTTTCTGCAATTTTTTTCCTTTTGATTTAAAGGGGATTCTCAATTTTCCATCAAAGTTTGGTGGCACGCCCCCAAAAAAGTATCACTCTTAAAACTATAAGGTTTTGTTTCAATACCAGCATGCTGCCAGATTTGCTAGATGAAGCTTAGAGAGTTGGGGGACTACAAAGATTCCTGGAGAATAAATGTATTCTGTATACTGCTCCTTTATAGCAACCGGTCTCAGCCTTATTCTCTTAATCAAAATTTTGAAATCTGAAATATTCCAAAATACAACATTCTTCTCATGGGTGGCTGAGAAGTGAATCCTTTGCTTTCTGATGATTCAGTGTACACAAACTTTGTTTCTCAAACAAAATAATCAAAACATAGTGTATAATTTATCATTTCGGCTATGTGTATGAGGTGCCTGCAAAACAGAAACACAATTCATGTTTAGAATTGAGTCCCATCTCCAAGATATTTCATTATGCGCATATCTGCAAATGGGATATTCCAAAATCTGGAGAGAAAAAAACAAAAATCGAAAACACTTTGAATCTCAAGTATTTTGGATAAGGGATACTCAACCTGTATAGCAATTCCAGCGTAATAGGTAGAACTCAATCTAAGCCACCTGAGCTTTCCTCCTATTGCTGGATATGTGGTTAGTGTGCAATAAATGTTTGAATTGAGGATCAAGCAGTGGAAAGCAGAGACCTCTGACACTTCCATGCAGAAATTCAGTGCGGAATAATGTATAGCATGCATTTTTATCCCTGTTAATGGAGTGGTAAACGTGCTGCAGGTTTCAGACCAAATGTTCTAGTATTCAAGACTATCTAGTATTCTGAACCCTGTTCTCCAGATAGGCTCAGCAGCGCTTGTGCCAGATCTTAAGCAAAAAACTGAATTCCTCGATAAATAAATTCTAAGGAGTACAGTAATGTCTGGAAAGCATATAAAACAAACTAATTACCTTTGAAGATTTATTCATATAGCACCAATTGAGTCACCTACATTGTTAGATTTGTAATGGATTTGACAGGCAACTGTTCTGAACAACATTGGTTAATATTCTTTGGAAAAGGGTCAAGTCAGTTATAAGTCTGACTCTGGCTTCAGTCATCTTTTAAAAACCTGCATAGAGATTTTACTAATACTTCTGGCTAGGAGCTAAGAAATAGACATCATTTTCTGAGTCATATAATAGTAAGCTGCTGTCACACAGTGACAACAAGATAGAAAAACCTGCATTCCAGATTGGTTGATTCAGAGCTTAATGGCTCCGCTATAAAGTGACAGGTTTTTACAAATAGCAGATGAGCTTAAAACTTCAGTTCTCTTTCTTCTGTATGAAGTAAGTATCTGAATAGTTGTTTCAGTCAATGGTATAATAAAAGGTTTTCAAAAATGTATTAAGGTCTGGCATACAAAAAACCTTTTTAATTTATGTACTTAAAAAAAACTACTTGTGTAATCCTGTTATATAAAAAGATTTTTTTTAATGAATGTGCATAGCATTAACATCAATAAGTGGATATAATGTTTAAAGGCAATTCTGTACACCTTGAAAATGAAAAAGCGAAGTGGGCACAAAAATACTTTATAAAAGGAAAATAAATTCAAAAACACTGGGGGGTTTTTTGGGGGGGGGTTGTTTAAAAGTTCTAAAAGTATGTATATTTGTACATATTACTATTTAATAGTCTTTCATTCTTCAAATATTTTACTTGAGCTCCAATAGAAAAAGCATGTTGAATATCTTAAGAGAGAGACTTGATCCCTTTCCTTGTGAACTGTTTGCTCATGCTGATGCTGCTAAATTCAGTTTGTGAAGTTGCAAGTTTATTATTTCACATATTATTTTGATCACATTTTAAGAAGCTGAACTGTCATCTAAAGATATTTTTGCCTGTGCAATATTTCAGCAAGAAGTGTGATGTGTCTTGCAAATGAGTTTCTGTTATGTAAAAAAATGGATAAAACTAATAGCTACAGTCACTTGTTTGCCTCCCCCTCCCCAGTAATGAGCTGAAAAATCTCCCCATTTAAAAATAACTTTGTAAATACGTACATGTTAAGTTAGTTAATCCTGCTCTTAAAATGTTTGTAGATATTCACAAAGCCTGCTAAATTTTCTACTGTATGCTTTATGGAGCCAACCAACCACCACTTTCTTCTTGGGACTAATCTATTTATCTATTGATCTATTTAAGAGATATTACGAAGAATATATTGTGAAGAAACATATCAGTTTGAATGTAATATGTTCAGGGTTGAACAGGACGACCCACGAGTTCTCTTCCAACTCTATGATTTCGACATCCAGCTTGATATTAACATGTACAGTTTACAAGATTGGGCAACAAGATCTTTCATGGGTTTATTAAATTAGAAGTTGATATGTTGTATAAGATCCTGTTGTGGGACAGTGCAATTGGTTTTGTAGACATTTTCATATATTGCTACCGACTGGGAAAGATATATGTAAGTTTATTTCTTTTCTTGATGCTTGAGATGAAGACTCTTATAATTATGTTCATAAAAAAGTTCCAAATGACTGCAATTATCATCTTTTTATTTGGTGAGATTATTATTATTATTATTATTATTATTATTATTATTATTATTATTATTTCTGCCATAATATTTTATTTCTCTCTTTATACTTGTCTGCATATCCTGTATTTCAGAGATTGAAATTAATCCACTGACATTTAATTGGAAAGCTATTGACAGAGTTGCTACATGTTGCCTTGTGCAGGAATATCACTGAATTAGCAGCTGAATACAGATACATGAATGCATGATTTTGTTCACAATGATGTTCATTATAGTAGTAGGTACTGGCAGAATGTTACTGCACCATTTTCAGTAGCTGATAAATGGAAATTTACAAGCATGACCAATTCTTTAATTAGTGTTCCAATTAAAGCTCCAAGACAAAATGTAAAATTAGCCATCTTACATGATTGAACTTGTAGAACAATGCGACAGTTTATACCACTTGCAGAACTGTACTGCTTCAGATTGTAATTGAGTCAGTGCTTTAAACAGCCTCATACTTATTAAAAGCTGGGATTCTAAGGACAAACATGGGCTGAACCTCAAACTAATATAAAAGGTTTTGTAGGGAGTTGGGAGGAAGTAGATATTATTTGTGAGTGCACGCATATTCCTAGTTTGCTAACTAGCAGTCTAAAATAGTGCTGTTCAGCAAAAGAGGCAAAGTTTGCTTTACAGATAATAGTTTGCATCGTTGTTAATTTGAGTATTTCAAAATGTTTAAATTATCTATTGTTTTATTTGCAATGCATTTCCCTGTTAAGAGAGCATTT